GGAAAGAGCTCAGTTCATGAAACCCCCATGCTGGGAAAAGCCCCCGGCAGGTAGGTATTTGTGGAGGAATTAAGGTCAGGTTTTGGAGAAAAACATGCCCTGTGGATGCACGTTAACGATCGGTGGGAAGTGGCTGCTATAAAACCCATCTGTGCGGGGCACAACACCGTCTTGTGCTCAGCATGCCAGGCAGAGGAGGAAACTCCCCCACGTTTCCCTTCGTCTAAGGGTTGCTGTGAAGGATGCAGGGGTACCAGTGTATCCTGACGGAGGCAGGGGAAGTCCCTAATCGCCCCTGCCCCCTCCAGACGAGGGCTCGGGGTTGACTGCCAGGCGCTAGCTTTATTGCAGTGCCTCCGACTCCACCCTGACACAACCTGCCGCATAATCTGCTGCCTGGGACTCTTGATCCACGTGCTCGGGGGATCAGACCGGGTGTTAGCTGCACTCCTCTCCCCCTCAGTCAGGAAAGGGATTAATGAGGCTGGTGACACTAATCTGGCCAGAGCACAAGGACAGCCCAGGCCAGATAAGATGTCCGGGCAAATGCAGATTGCCTGCCCCCAGGGAGTGGGTAGTGCTCTTATCTGGACCCCTGGCCTGAAGCCATGCAGCCTGCTCCTCCTCCCTGGCGCAGCAGCAGGAGTCTGCCCGCTGCCTGGAGCACCTGAGCATGCAAAAGCCTTGTCTGCCCTCCCAGCTACCAGGAGAGGCCTGGAGGGACTCGGTGCCCCTAGCCCCCTCCAATTTCTGTTGCATTCACGCGCACCCCTGGTCGCTGTGACTGGAAGGGGAAAACGAAGCCATTCTTGCAAGATTTCCAGCCTGAGTTTGGTCAAGCCTGCAATATCTGGATTCGTTCTTGTTCGCGTTGTAGTAGTGCCTAGGGCCGCTGGTCCTGGACCAGGATCCGGCTGTGCTTGGTGCCGCACAAAGGCAGAGCAGAAAAGGCAGCCCCTCCCGTCGTGCTTGTCATCCTCGTGCAGACGTCAGCGTGCTCCTCCGAATCTTTGAACCCTTTGAGGGGCTCGAGCGCGGATCCTGCAATGCGCAGTGGAGGAGGCTAGCGTTACGGCCGCTGCAGCCGTGCAGGCCTTCTGCGACGATGCACACGGTTTCTGACTCCCAGTGTTAACTCACCTGACACCAGAAGACCCGAGTTTGGGGGGAGGCATTGCTTGCCTGCAGCCTGTCGGGGGTGGGTCTGAGGGAGGCTGGGCTAGGGGATGCTCTGCTGATGAACCAGGAGTTCACCTAGGAGGCTACTCCAGATTTGCACGTGTGAAACAGTGCCTGGTTGATGCAATGAAAACGTTGTCTAGTATCTGGTAATGACCCACGCTGCTGCTCTCTCTTCGGTGGCCTCTTCGAAATGGTCCCAGTGTCCCCAGCTAAATAGCCCCTGACAGGACCCAACACCTGAAAGGCCCCCGGTGAGTAACTGGCCCTTAGGTGAGGCTCTTCCACGGCAAGCTTGAAACCCGGGGAAGGAAAAAGCTGGGAGCAGCACCACCCGAGCTGCCTGTGCTGTGGGGATATGGAGAGGCCGTCAGCCTCCCAGACTGTCAAGCTAGCGCGAAACACATTCAACAGGAAAACTTTTAATTAGGAAGGGATGAATCAGCGTGTCAGACGCCCCCTCCTTCCCGCCCCAGCCACAAGACTTGAGAACTGGTGCGTAGCCGTCTAAGCTGATGCACGGACGTGTTATCAGAGACAAGTCGCAGCTCTGCTGCGCTCTTGAGTCACCCTACTCTAGCGCGTCTCAGCAGCCTGTCCCCGCTGCCAGCTGTTTATCCCTCAGGACTCAGCCTGATGCATGCAAACCAAAGCTGCCTCTGTCAAGAGCAGCAAGGCTCACGGAGTTGCCAAGAGGCAATGCGCTGCTTGGATTCAATGGGCAAATGGATTAGTGAGCATGGCTCGGTTCAAAGTGCACCTCCTGATGCAGGGCGCACACCTGGGTAGGGGCGAAGCAGGCCTGCGGGCCAAACCAAGTAATGGGGCTGAGCACCCGCATCTCACCGTGAAGTTTTCTAGTGCCGCTTTTGATGGCTGCTCCCAGGATCAGGCCCTAAAGAGGAGGGTGCCTCCAGAGCTGCATCATCTCATTTGCTCGTTATCGCAATTCTGATCTTTCCAGCCTGCGGGGCAGCAAATTGAGCTTTGGCTTCAGCGCTTGATGAAGGAGCAGGCGGCTGTGAGGGCCATTAAAGAGACACCGTCCAGTTCTTTCTCAGTCTGTAACACTTTCTTTTCTCTCTGTTGATCTATTGTGACACCCTTGGTAGGAACATTTCTTACCCTATTGTTCTTTTTCATTTGGTAAGTATTGATTTCCCTCCCCTTTCTCTCACTGAGCACCAGCCAATATATCACCACAGGCTTTTCCACTTATGTTTCTCAAGGTTACATCTCCTGCCCCATTTGGATGTGTCTCGCAGCGTGTGCTTTCTGCATGTAGCACCTTGCAGGAGGCCTCGCCTGCAGTGGTTTGGCCGGTAGACGGTCCCTTCAGCAATGGCACAGCTATTAGAAACGTGCACAACTCGCATCCTGGCGGCAGCTCTTTCTAGGGAGCGTGGTGCGCCTGGCGGCTACCGCACAGTTCAACGTCCTGAATCCTGCACCGGGATTCGGAAAACCCATGCTCTCGTCTTGGAGCTACGTTAACTTCCCGAGGGATCTTGAGCAAGTCACTCCCGAGCCCAAGTTCACTCATTGTAAAGCAGGGAAAATGGCATTTCCAAGATACGTTGGTAATACCACCACGTATGTGCCTGGCTACAGGCAATGCAGGTCATCGCTTGACCTTGCTGCCTTCCCGCCGCCCGGAGCACGGATCTGGAACCAAACATTGACCTTGCACCCAGCTAAAGAGGTTCACATAAAACTTTTGCCTCTAGTTTAGGCTTTAAAGTGTGATTCTGTCCAGATAAAAAAAAAACGCCCCAGAATAAGGCTGGGGTAGGGAGGAAGAAGCCCTGGTATGAGATGCAGACAAGGAGAAAGGCTTTCTGAATCCTTGCCTGGAGACTCATGATCTACCCCACGGAGGCTGTGTGCAAGTGCCTAGCTTTCAGCTCTGTTCCTCTGAGCGAGAGAATTAGGATGTGTCTGCGTGGCACCGAGATCAGAGGCTGCTGTGTAGGGACTTGCTGAGCTAAACCGAGGGACTCTTCAGGCCAAAAATTATCCCCAAGTATTTATTCTAACTCAATACAGACCACGGAGGCATTTTTGTCCCAGTCGAGATATAAGGAACAGGCCAGAGGTACTCA